TGGGGGGTCCTAACAAGGGATTTTACATAAAGAAAATCCTAATAAGTCATTGACACCTGAAACTAAGCTTGTGGCGCCGCGTCCATTTGTCTGATCAAGTGTCAGTGTTACTGTGGCAATTGCCACAATAACACGAGTAAGGAGAGTAGACGTTTTCAACTTCTTAGCAATTGAAACCTCAGTTTAGGATTTGCTAATCTGGACCCATCCACTCCTGAAAGGTTCTACCCGTCCCCCAGCTTAATCAAGTTTGACTGACATATCTGGTCTTGGTTAACCGTGTAACATCGTCGAGAGTCTACGAGTTCAGTCAGCGGCTCTTTGAAGAATATGCGCCAGCCGCTCTCTCCCATTCTCTAGGACGGATCCGACAGTCGCGAAGGCTCGAAAGAAACTGCTCGTTCGAGAGCGAGACGGAGACCCCAACTCATGGAAGACATCCGCGAAATTCGGGTCAGCAGAGGCTAAGCGTCTAGCATTTTTGGATATTCGTGAGTTCAGTCAGAGGCCCTATTAACGTTCCACGTAGTAGCCGCTCGGACAATGTATCCCTCCACTCCCTCCCCCTTACCCACGGGAGTGTTCGCACCTACGATACGGACTTTTATCGAGTAGAGCTCTAATCCCGTATCGATCGCGACCCTGTGCGTATCGTCTGTAAAGTACATCTCCACCGCCATTCATGTGGGTGGTGGAGGAATCAGCAGGTCATCATCGAACTCAACAGGTCGGCCTGAACGCGCTTCATCGGCAAAGCTGTAGTCACCAGATCTGAATTTCTGGAACCACCGTTGGCATTTCCTCGCATTTAGAGCTTCCCCACCAATAACACCTTGAATGTTTTTCGTGGCTGCTGTCGCGTTATTCCCTTTCTTAAATTCATAAAGCATTATATGCCGAATGTGTTCCTCTGACAACCTCCATCTTGTTTTTAACGTCTAAGAAAAATGGAGCACTGTTAACTCGTTAAAACCTACACGAAGATTGAAGACTAACGTCTACGCAAGTTAGCACAGAAAATTTTCATGAGATGTGCACAAATACGTATAAACAATACACAAGTTTGGCAATGCGAAAAAACCGCATTACTTATGGGATGACCTGATATTTTCTTGACAACGAGTGCGCATTAATATGGAAATCCGTTGCTTTCGTGAATATGCGTCTCTAATAAACTCATCATATAATAAATTCTAATAAACTCACCCCCCCTTGGGGTCAATTTTACAGGTTTCTCACAATTTTTTTTAATTGATATGAATTAATTATACAGGGTGGGTTATCAGTTTTTCATATGTTAACTCGGGTTTCCTGGGCACGCTACTGGTTTAGTATCCCTCGTGAGTTAAAAAAAATCAACGCTCGAGCAACAAATCGATTGGGCACTCGACATGTAATTATCCTGCGATTATGGACTGCATTTTCTGCGATTTTGGAATGAATGTTTTCTGCGGTTTTGCCCGGTGATTTTGCGATTTTGAATCCTGGCGAATTTTTTTTTCCTGCATTCACACAACTACCATTGTTTTCTTCGTTCATCGTATGGAATGAAAAATCCAAGGCACCGACCTTTCTGTGAACCTACGTCCAATCATACATAGCCGTAATGTGAATAGCTCCCTGCCCATTTCTTTCCCTCCATTTGTTTCCAGGGAGACAGCGGCGGGCCCCTGGTTGTGAGATACGGGAATCGAGCCTTTGTGACAGGAGTGGCCTCGTTCGTCGTGAGAGTAAATTCGCTCCTTTCCGAGGGTGAAAGAGGGGGGGGGGGGGGGGAAATAGAATTTATTTTACTCTCTTTTTTCAGGAAAATCGCTCCCATTTTTTTTTAAAGTGTACGGTAACAGAGGCTTGAAAAATAGAGTCGCGAGGAAGAAAGGTGGCAGTTGAGCTAAAGGCCCACCTCCCTTCCACGGTAGCATGAATAAAATTCGAATTCGTAGGTGGACACATCACACATTGCTTGTGTCATTGCGATAGTTGAGGTGATGCAATTTGCTCTCTGAATTTCCCTGTAACAGTTGCAGAGGCCTGATCGCCGACACGCTAGCGGGAAAATCAGAGTGGGGGGGGGGATAACAAGGAAAGAAAGAGAAAGCCGTCATGCGAAGGAGTCGTTCGGAATGACAGGTGGCGTTATGAACACTGAATCGCTTATGGTTGGAAAAACAGCAATTCGTGGGAGTTAATGGTAGCCCGAATTAAAACATGAAGCTTCCGTTCCACATTTTGCCTGCATCCGTTCAAAACTGACCGAATTAGGAACGACTCCCAGCGAGGGAGTCGTTCAAAGCAAAGTCCAAGCAGTCACACCCTCTCAAAGCGGAAATATTATAACAGTTTTCCTGACCCAACGAGCCGTGGTTGTTGAGAATGCGATGCGAGAACGAATCTGCTCTCGGGAATTGTTGTAACGGATTCAGAGTTCTCGTACTGCCGGCTGGCCACCGTAAGCACCGTTCCGTCTCTAACGTCTGAAATGAAACAATCATCTGCCCATTATCACATATGACAAGATCATCAAGTTCACTCAATCCTGCTTTGCCCTTTTTTCTGTTAATGAGAAATCATTTTACATCCACTTTGTTTATTCACTTTTTCCATCTACATTTAAACACTAATCTTAAAGCGTGTTAATAATTATTTTCTCCCCTTCCTTGTATGGATCGAGAAACCCAAGACACCGACCTTTCCGTGAACCTACGTCGAATCTTGGCGTAATCACAATAGTTCCCCGGTCATTCCCTCCGTCTATGTGTAGTGGGACAGTGGTGGACCCCAGATAGTGAGATACGGCCGTGGGACCTTTGTGACTGGAGTGGCCTCGTTCGTCACCGGAGACTGCGCTCACGGCGGCGATGGGTACACCAGGGCCTCCAAATACGTCACCTGGATCGAAAAACAGATCCGTCGTAGAGGGATCCAATTCGTTTTGTCGGAAATTAAGCCAGGCCCGCGAGCTTATTGGGGCTTGAAGTACATTTCTGATTTTTGTCATGCACTCATGAGGATTCAACCAAATTAGCAGCAACTCGTGAATCGAAGTCCGATTTCGAGTAGCACAACAGGTTTCATACCGGTTGCGAGGGCGAGAAGTCCGAATTGAGAGGCAGTGCCGCATTTAAAAATATCCGCAAAATGGTTTCATATCTCCTCCAGGCACAAATTAACTCGATCGTAGCTAATAAACTTTAGTTTAAACTTGAAGACTGACCATCACTGTAAATAGATTGGCCGGCCTCACTCCACGTAGCAAAGATCAAAGAAGACATCTCTAGAATGATGATGCTCGGAATGGTCACGTCGTTAACGTAGAAAGGGAATACGGAAACAATCATACATTTTTGCTCTTTTGTTTATCTACAATGGCCTATGCTCGGCGTGACGGTTTCAAGGAGTGGTCTCGGCATAACGGCAGGATGGAATATGTCAGGTCGGCTAAGACCCAAATAAACGTGCTAACATTTAGGTTACTTTCTCCTGTTAACTCTGAATCCTCACGACACCCCAACTCACGACGGCGACACCCGGCCTGGCACATGGCTACGAAATCCTGCGTAGCGTAGCCCACACTGCCACGGAACACACGGCAGCGAAGGCTGACCCCATGCTTCTCGTTACGCATGCGCGCAATCCGCCTATCGGGCTTCACCACGCATCCACGTGAACGACCTGTGGACGAAGAAGCCGGCTGCTCCGGCGCTGGAATTTGCTTCGCCTGTGAATATCTATCGGCCCTTGGAAGTCACGATTTGTTGCATTATTTAATGCGGCTTTGACATGCATCATGCCCTATCGATCGTTTCTCTTCTCGTGGAAATAAATTGTTTCTGTCTCGAGTAATCTAAGAAATGCAAAAAAAGCCCGAAAATTTGCATTCTTTCTGCTCGACCTCCGTAATGCATAAACAAATTTTGAATCTGAAGGAACGAGCCAAATTGAAAGGATATATACAATTATGGGGAGGGTAAGGGACAAGCACAAAGGAGGAAATAAACTTTCTTTAATTATTAAGTTATTCATTTCTTAGATTTACTGAAACGGACAATAACAGGCAAGGCCGAAATGCCTGGCGGGTTCCTGAGAAATAAAACTTACCGAAGGTGAATATCTTCTTGCAAACAAAATCATCAATTGCAGATAAGTATCCCATAAATAGGAGTCATCCTGTCACTTCCACCATTTTTGACACCGTAAATAAGTTTGGTCGAAGAAGAACTCATGAAACTAACTCTCAAAAGTCAACATTAAATTAGGTGGCTTGGATGCAAAATTAAACTATTAATTTGCAATTATTAATGACGAATAAATAATGTGAAATCGATGCTTATCCTTTCAACTGGTCTAAGCTGACTAGCTAAACAGTTAGTTTTAATGGTTGTTGCTTTTCTTTTATCTATTCAGCGCATGAATACATATATTTGTTTTTAAATTACCTTGGAAACATTTAATTACTTTTAGAATCGAAATCTTTGAATGTGCTTCCGGTGACTCATGAGACACATCATAACTCTAACATGACTTTAATCAATAATTATAATCAATCAATATATCAATAAAGTATCAATAAATATATGTTTATGATAAACACGGCAGAGCTCATGTACAGGGTCATGAATGACATGAGTACATGGAATAAGCTCCTCGTTGGTTTCCCTTCGATTCATTCTGCTCAAATTTAGGGCAATCGGGTAATTAGCCCATGATTAACTAAGTTGTCGGCAGGGGAAATCGTCGCTTGGGCATCCCGGAAAAAAAAATCATGCAATCGTACGTTCAAGATGAGAGGATGGGACAGGTGGCGTGAATTCGAAGTCATCCTGATTTCACGGTGAAAGAGAACTTTCAGGAAAAAATATTTTCCCTGAAGGTGAGGAAACATCACCAAGGGCATTCTTGGAATACAAGGAAAGAGAGCTAGTGTTTCCTCGTCTTCCAGGAAATTTCTTTTTTCTAATATATTTCCTTGTACGATACAAACATACGTGGCACAAGCAGATTGGCAATCGTGACAATTGCTTTGCAGGAATATAAGAGCTCTGGAACCTCTGAGGAGATAGTCATTTCAATTGTCTTTGGTGTTTCTGCACGGCAACATGAAAGGAATAGCGTGCTGTCTCTCTGCTTTCCTCCTTCTCCTGCTCCCTGAGGAGAGTGCGCAGGGCAAGGCGGCCAGCCCCACTCCCGCACCACCACCCAACTGTCCTTCCTCCGCTCCTCCGAGTTTGTCTCGTACGTCCACTCTATTCTATTTTTCTCTAAATGAATCTCGAAGACATTTGTACCGTAGGCTATGCGGCATTTCAAGCCCTTATTGTCTGAAAGTGTATTTAAGGGCGACTTGTGACAAAAACCGTGCTCTAATCCTGTCGCTCGCTGAACCGCCTCTTCTTGAGCAATAGCCCCACTTGCATTCCAAATCACTGGAGCTTCCGAACTGAGCTGTGCTTCCATATATATAGTTAGTGCCGGGATTATACCCTGATATTTGAGTGCTTATTCGCGGCAAAATCATGAGGAGTAAGCCAGCTGGAGTGGGACTATTGATGAGCTCCATTGGGTAGTTTTTACTCTTCTTTATTATTCGAGATCACACTGGAATCTTATTTATGCATGCAATCTGAGAGAAGGAAAATACTAAATTGTGTGACCAAGAATATAAATAAAAGAAGGATGTGAGCTAGGGTCGGGTGGGGTCGGACCGTGAAGTTAGGTTGGAATTCTGGTTTCGGGTCGGATGCCGACCATGATCGGTCGGCATTCGGACAATCGGGCATATTTGGTCGGGTACCGGGAAATCGGCCCGTGCATGGCTCTACTAGGAGTAGCATAGTGGTGAAAATTACGACAGCGAATAATTCATCCTGGGATGATGTTATTTCAAATCTGATTGCACGGTGCACACATAACGACCATCAGCTTTCGAACGATATATGAAACGCGAGGGTATATTTTTGCATAACGTCGCAACACGGCTTACAAACACACATTAGCGTATTATATATAGATTAATTATAGCCGGCAGCTTGTCGCAAATCAGTTTAGCTATAATTTCGCGTTTTCCAATTCGTGAGCGAGGATACACTTTTAGTAATTATAGATAACATGTCCCAAACAATAAAGTTGGACTGCGAATGAAAGAGATGTATTAAATACTCCGGGGTTCAGTGACGTCCACGCAGTGTGGACAGTCGAGTGTACTCAGGACGAGGCAAACATGGCTCCAGTGGATGTGGAACAGCTTTACGGAGACCTTCATGGGAAGCCAAGACCTGGAAAGAGAGGAGGGAGGAGGACTCATTTTCAACGGGGCTCCGGCCACCATCGCGGAAGCCCCCTTCATGGCCTACATTGAATCGTTTTTCGCTGACGGCAGCGGAGCAGCTTGCAGTGCTTCCATCCTCAGCGAGAAGTGGATTCTGACTGCCGCTCACTGCGTCGTCGACAGCAACAAGTCAGCTTAAGCGTTCCTTCGTATTTCCTCGAAGCCGTTCTTTTAATACTTTTTAGGGTTGGAGGTTTACTGAAGCCGGTCTTTTTTCCTCTTATACATTAGAAAATTAAAGGCAACGGTTCTTTGAAGCTTTATACTGAAATTATGCAGAAGTGAATATGAACGATGAAATACTGTACACTGTTGGAAAATTCCGAGCGTTTGGGGAGTAAAAAGTGAGCACACCGTGAGCTTTTCGAATTTACTCTCTTATTACTCACCAAATGCTCCCTCACCGCTCGTATTGAAATGAACAACTTGAAGTGCTTCGCCAGGCCACTAAATGGAGGTAAGGGTCTCGCTTTTCGGACAGAAAACAAAATTTCCCTACCCTCTTTCCTTGAATCGTCCCTCGCAGGATTGTTTAGTACCTTGCCATATGTCTCACCTAGTCTCATTATAGGAATCAGTAAACACGGACCCTTCATTATTTGTTATCCACATATTCAACACATATTCATGGAGTCCAGGCCATAAACAAGCTCATATTCCTATTAAGAACCCTTTTGGAAGAGGTATGATTTTTTCCCGCACAGGAAATCTAGAATATACAGTGAGTGTCCGTGAATTTCATTCAATCATACCTCAATAAGGTAATAAGGACTGACACCCTGAACACTCCTCGGAACCTATAAGAGGTTGTCCACCCTCTGACGTGTACTGTAATCAGTACAGTCAGAAGTAGCTCAACGCTTGTACGAAAGCGAAAGCGACACACAGTATATGCGAGAGTTTTCGTATTTGCATGGCATCCCTATCACTTTCTGATGGGAGCGTTTTTACTCACGGAGGAAGAGAGCAATTTTACTCCTTGGTGATGGAGTAAATTCGCTCCTTTCCAAGAGGAGAAGGGGGGTGAAACTGGAGTTAGCTATTTTGCTCTCTTTTTTGAGAAAAATCGCTCCCTTTTCTGAGTGCAGGGTGGCGTGTGTTTTTCCACGCTAAGCTGGCACTTCCCTGTGAAAGCAGGTGGGTTGCCTGTCGGTGGAGGAAGGACCTGGACTTCCCCCGTCTTACCGGTTTCACTAGGAAGCGAGAACCACTCGACCACAGAACCCTGTCACTAAAGTAATTTTTAGTACCATCTTAACGATACAATCAGCAATACATTGCCATCTTGCCACAGAAATTGGAAAGAGCAACTTTATCATCGGTGGGAGAGAGGAATGGGGATAACAGTGACTGTCTTTTCTCTCTCCCACTTTCTCAAGAATAAAACGGCCTCGTCACTTCTCACATTCCGATTCTGTTAAAAATAAAAACAAGATAACCAGACCAGGTACAGATCTGCCACTCTTGCTATTTATACTACGGACAGACGGAATGAAAAAAGTAATCACAATATCTGCCATTATCCCATAGGACCTATGGGGGTTGCTGATAACTATTCCCCCTTTCCCTATTGCGTGAAGAAGGAAACTTGCACAAGGAGAAACGAGCTGCTACCTTCAATACGATACTAATGAACGCAGGAAATAATGCATGCTGGCTTCATGCAAAAATTAGTATAAGGTAGCTTTGGCCTTTCTATTCAGCCGATATGCTTCACTTCAGAGTTGCATGAGTGGACGTTTTCTTTGCAGCGCTTTCGCTGTTGCCGCGAAAGTCTATGTGGGGAATGCAGACAATAGGTATGGAGCACTTCATGATGCAGATTCTGTTGCACGAGATGGAGCATTCAACATAAGTAAGAAAGAATTCCATCCTGTTATCTCTTCAACTCAGCTTATGCTCTCGAGGAATTGAATGTATCAAATCACTCACGAAATGCAATGCCGCATAAAAATTTTCATTCGTAGTAGCATTTCCCATTCAATACTCTCGGCAGATAACATAGGGAACGGGCATGACATCGCCTTCTACCGTTTGGCGACGCCTCTGACCTTCTCCCCGAGCATCCAGCCGATCTGCTTCCCCACCACCGACACCGTCCTGGGCACGGCCATCTCCGACTGCGACCAGAGGATTTACGGCTGGGGGAAGATCGACGCTGCTGGCCAGACCTCTACGAACACCCTGCAAAAGCTGAATGTGACGGTGTCGGCGGATGTCAGTGCCTGCTCCTCCCTCACTGATGAGACCGTCGTTTGCGTGCGAGGAGACGTCGCGAACAGCGGAGCCTGCTTCGTACGTATAACGCCTGTGAAAAAAGCTTTATCAAAGAAAAATGCACTTCGTCGTATGTTTGTCTGTGTATGTCTGTACCTGTATATCTCTGTTTGGTATCTGTTACCGAAGCTGCAAAGATTTGTGCGCATCGGCATCGGTAAAATTATTACAGGTAGTTTAGTATCTAACATATTTCGCTCCAGTTTGGCCATTCTTTGTCTGCTTCTAGCATTACTTCACAATTTCAAAATGTTCTCTGTTCAAAATCACAATGCATGAAATTTTCCTCTGAGATGAGGTGCGAAAACGCCAGCTTTCCATGAAGTTACGTTCAGTCTTTCAGAGACGTCATCTCAGCAAGTGCCTGATTTTTCTTTCTCTCCTTGTGTGAATGTAATGTAGGGAGACAGTGGTGGACCTCTAGTGGTGAGATACAATGGCCGAGCCTTCGTCACCGGGATCGCCTCGTACGTCGTGGGTGGCTGCGCCCCGGGCATCGATGGCTACACCAGGGCCTCCAAGTACAGCGCTCTCGTCCAACAAGCGGCCGTTTCTGGAGCGATCGACTCTTCCTCTGATTCGATTATAACACAGGCTCTCACGCCCGGACTCAGCCAAGCACGCCTGCTCGAGGGATATCATTAAGCATCAATCGAACGATTCACCCCACCGCATTTACCTCTAAAAGAATCAAAACCTGATCAAATTGTTGCTAAAATGTAGGTTGGGGACGAATTTTTTCCCGGAAACCATTGCCTCTTAAATCCAGAGCTTCTAATTCTCCAAATCATTATCAAAGTAATAACTTGACAAAGCCCTGTCACTTTCAGCATGAGAAACTCCATGGACACATGCTACATTTTCCCCTTCACATTTACACGATGCACATGCTATTTGCACTCGGCACACTCACATGCAATTCGCACTCGGCACAAGCGACTCACTCGAGACACATGCAATTCGCACCAGACATATTCAATTTGCACCGGGGGAATTCCATTGCACCGGAAGCATTCACTTCGATTCGCCGCACTACCTTTCGCACAAAAAAAAACATTCACATTTGACTGTTACGACTGAAAATGGGCCGATTTCATTTTCGATTTTCACCATCCCCATGAAAGGAAATCAGAGACTTCATTTTCCTTGGTCAATTTTTTTATTGCACCTCTAAAGCACAGTTTCTTTTACGCATGTAGCACGATAAATAAACGGGCAGCATATGCTGAATCGTTGACGCATATACTTATTTCGATGGAAGAAGAAATGATCCTTGATTTTGGTGAATGCGAAAATGCCTTGAATGAATAGCTCTGTATAGTACCTTTTCACCAAATCTTCAAGTATTTAAATGAAATGTGGCATGCCCCAGAATCGCAAAAGAGGAAGGTCTTGTTCCGTTTTTCAGTTCAGTCCAAACGAGGAAGATCTCAGGTGGCAAGACAGATATTTAAAATATTTTGTAGAAGGGGGAGAAGACAATACCTATTCTGCTCCGTGTTCATCAGAGTGAAAATTCAGAAGAAAAAAAATATGAAAACGTGGACTGAAGTTCTTTTCCTTCTCTTGGTAATTCAAGTTATGCCATTCGCGATAGAAAGTAAAGCAGTTCACCACAGTCCTCAATCGAAAATTTGTCATTAAGGTTACGGATCATAGGCCACTACTTGATCAAAAATCCATCTAGACGGTGCGCGAGTTAAGGGAGAATTTTGCGGCGACAACAAAGGAGGCGAGGAAGAGGATAGAAACACACAGACGCACGTGCAAGAGCTGTTTTTTTTTTTTTAATAATAAAAGGAGCTAAGTGAATGGTGGGCCCCGCTGTCAGTGGTGGACCGCCACATGACTCCCGCCCACCATGGTGAGATCCTCCCAACACCAGGGCTGGCAGAGTGCAAAACCCTGGAGAAGCTGTTGTGAACGCCATGGGAAGGTGACCCATGACTCAGGCGTGAGGACGAATGTGCTTAACGCACGCTCGCCATCACGCCTGGATCTCTGAGATCCTCCCAACACCAGGGCTGGCAGAGTGCAAAACCCTGGAGAAGCTGTTGTGAACGCCATGGGAAGGTGACCCATGACTCAGGCGTGAGGACGAGTGTGCTTAACGCACGCTCGCCTCCACGTCTGGATCTCTCCCGTTTTTACTTTTAGCTGTTAATTCTATTTTCCTTAATGACAAAGAGCGGCCTTTAATGAGAAGCAAGAACAAGAAGAGGAAGAGTAGGTGTCTCCAGGTGCCAGCTGGCCGGAAGGGTCTTATCAGGCGCCCTGGTTAGAACAGCTGAAGCAGGGTGTTATTTGAGACATTGAGCCATGCGAGAGGAGTTTGAGGAATGAGGTCTTGGAGTGGCCGTTAAAGTGAGAGTGAGAGGGTCTGTATTTTTTTTCATATTTTTTTTTTCATGCTCAGAACGAGGAATAGAAGAAGAGAAGAGGGAGGAGCGAGTGAGTGAAGGATGAGAGAGAATGTAAGAGGAGGGAGTGAGGGAATGGAGCGAAAAATCCCTTTGAGCGAGAGTGCGTTCAGGGTATTCCTCCGCGGCAGAAAAAAAGCACTGCGCGAAGGAATAGGAGGAGAGAGGAAGAGGAGTGAAAATCGATTGAGAGAAAAGGGAGATTAGTTTTTACCCTCATCAATTCAGGTGCCCAGGAAGAAAGCACTGTTGACACAGGAACGATGAGAGCGGGATGGTTCAGGGGTCAGGAGAACAGTTAGCGCCATCAGACTACTGGCTCTTCCGAAAAACCACTATGTCCGGACTGTGAGCTGGGTGGGGCAGAACCTCATAGCCCAGCTGAAGAAGCTTGTCCCGTGTGCACTTCGCGGTATGCGGCCGCGCGTTATCGTGGAGGAAGAGAACACGGCCGTGCCTCGGGCGAAACAGAGCGAGTTGGTCGTCGAGACGCTGCAGTTGGTTGCACTAGTACTGCGCAGTCACAGTCTGGTTGTGGGGCAGCACCTCCCAGAGGATGACGCCTCTGGCGTACTAAACCGTCAACATGAGCTTCTTCGCGTGCGGATCAGGTTTCGGCTCTGGCTCCGGCTGCTGGTGCGTGCTCACCCATTGGCCATGGCGCGTACGGTTAACACGTTGGCGACAATGCGTCCTGATGCCAGGATGCAGATTTCATTTTCAATGAATACCCTCTGGAACTGTTGAGAACGTTCCAGAAGATTATGATTTC